CTGGATCTTTGTGACATGTTCAACATTAGCATCACACTTAAAGACACTGAAACATGATGTTGTGTTTCAGAAACACTGAATAAACGGTTTAAGGCACACGTTTCTTTCTCCGACCAGACTGAGTTAGAAAACATCGTCTAAACTTTAAAACAACACCACGGACTTTAAACACACCTTTGTGAAAACTGGGGACGTTCGTTTGACCCGTCTTTGAGAGCCGTTGGTGTTAGCTTAGCATCGTTGACAAAGCTAGCATAACATTAGCCTAACGTTAGCTTACGTGTTTTTGTAGAAAATGTGTAGTTCTATGGTGTGTGTGTGTGTAGTTCTATGGTGTGTGTGTATTTCTATGGTGTGTGTGTGTGTATTTCTATGGTGTGTGTGTGTGTAGTTTTATGGTATGTGTGTGTAGTTTTATGGTGTGTGTGTAGTTCTATGGTGTGTGTGTGTGTAGTTTTATGGTATGTGTGTGTAGTTTTATGGTGTGTGTGTAGTTCTATGGTGTGTGTGTGTAGTTTTATGGTGTGTGTGTTGTTTTATGGTGTGTGTAGTTCTATGGTGTGTTTGTAGTTTTATGGTGTGTGTGTGAGTGTAGTTCTATGGTGTGTGTGTGTCATTCTATGGTGTGTGTGTGTCGTTCTATGGTGTGTGTGTGTAGTTCTATGGTATGTGTGTGTCGTTCTATGGTGTGTGTGTGTAGTTCTACGGTGTGTGTGTGTAGTTCTATGGTGTGTGTGTGTAGTTCTATGGTATGTGTGTGTAGTTTTATGGTGTGTGTGTGTGTGTGTCATTCTATGGTGTGTGTGTGTCGTTCTATGGTGTGTGTGTGTAGTTCTATGGTATGTGTGTGTCGTTCTATGGTGTGTGTGTGTAGTTCTACGGTGTGTGTGTGTAGTTCTATGGTGTGTGTGTGTAGTTCTATGGTATGTGTGTGTAGTTTTATGGTGTGTGTGTATTTCTATGGTATGTGTGTAGTTTTATGGTGTGTGTGTGTAGTTTTATGGTGTGTGTGTAGTTCTATGGTGTGTGTGTGTATTTCTATGGTATGTGTGTAGTTTTATGGTATGTGTGTGTAGTTTTATGGTGTGTGTGTAGTTCTATGGTCCGTGTGTGTAGTTTTATGGTATGTGTGTGTAGTTTTATGGTATGTGTGTAGTTCTATGGTGTTATACGTTTTTATGAATCTTCTGGTCAGCGCTATGCTAGCTGCCGTCTCACGTAGCCTCGTCTATGCTAAGCTAACGTCAACAACTCTAAAACGATGGAGGATAAAAGTGCTGTTAAAGTGGCAGTTATGATAAAATATGTATCTTTACTGAGCAGAGCAGCTAATGTTGTTTACAGCTAGCTTTAGCCTGGACCAGGAAGTGCATTAGAACAGTACGGTTTAGCCCGGAACTACACAGGTCACTTTCTTGTCTCTATGGTTGAGTTTTCCCTTGTTTTTACGTAGCTCCCCTTTAGTTTGTGCCAGTGTGAGGTACATAAAAGTCTGTGTTAAAGTTCCGTGGTGTTGTTCTATCTTTCAAGTAAACCACCGGCTCCACATTTGCATAGTACTTTGAGGCCGTTGAGGACTAGCTTGACGATCCGTACTTTGGGGCGAAAATGGCCGTTTTTGTTTTTTTCTTGGAACAACTGTCGGGAAGTCCGTCGTGGAGCCGCGTGGAATCGTACAATCCATGAGTTCAGAGACGTTGAGACAAGAACACAGACGATGCATAGGAAAATAACACACATTTGCGCTGGCTGAGATCGGACCCTCAGATTTCAATATTTATATCTACAGAGATTTTCACGGGAAACAGATCCATGAGTAACACGTGCAGCTCTCAGGAAGAAGCTGGAATTTCAATACAAAACACAGTCCTTTGCAAAAGTCTGAGCACAGCGCTTGTCCTGCTCCCTGTTTGATTCTCTGATCTGTTCTTGGACAATCCACAACTTTGTAAAGTCCTTCGAGACGACTGCGGCTGTGATTTATGAAGATACACAAAAACAATAATCCAAACACTCAGAGCAGCGTCCCCCGTGTCCGTATGAGGGGGGGGGAGCATCATGCTGTGGGGCTGCTTTTACTCAGCAGGGACAGGGAGCAGTGTCAGAGTGAATGGAGCACAGATATTATACTCCACATGGTTTATTATACTCCACATGGTTTATTATACTCCACATGGTTTATTATACTCCACATGGTTTATTATACTCCACATGGTTTTTACTCATGCATCTTTACCTTCAGTCGTTTCTTTGATGTGGACTTTGTGTTTGAGCCAAAAAGTGGATTCACACTTTTGTAACTCCATGTTTTAGATAACAAGGGCCCAGAGTCCAGGAGCCAGAGTCCAGGACCCAGAGTCCAGGAGCCAGAGTCCAGGAGCCAGAGTCCAGGACCCAGAGTCCAGGACCCACAGTCCAGGACCCAGAGTCCAGGACCCAGAGTCCAGGGCCCAGAGTCCAGGGCCCAGAGTCCAGGGCCCAGAGTCCAGGACCCAGAGTCCAGGATCCAGAGTCCAGGAGCCAGAGTCCAGGAGCCAGAGTCCAGGACCCAGAGTCCAGGACCCACAGTCCAGGACCCAGAGTCCAGGACCCAGAGTCCAGGGCCCAGAGTCCAGGGCCCAGAGTCCAGGGCCCAGAGTCCAGGGCCCAGAGTCCAGGACCCAGAGTCCAGGAGCCAGAGTCCAGGATCCAGAGTCCAGGACCCAGAGTCCAGGACCCAGAGTCCAGGACCCAGAGTCCAGGACCCAGAGTCCAGGAGCCAGAGTCCAGGATCCAGAGTCCAGGAGCCAGAGTCCAGGAGCCAGAGTCCAGGACCCAGAGTCCAGGACCCAGAGTCCAGGACCCAGAGTCCAGGACCCAGAGTCCAGGACCCAGAGTCCAGGACCCACAGTCCAGGACCCAGAGTCCAGGAGCCAGAGTCCAGGATCCAGAGTCCAGGAGCCAGAGTCCAGGACCCAGAGTCCAGGAGCCAGAGTCCAGGATCCAGAGTCCAGGAGCCAGAGTCCAGGACCCAGAGTCCAGGACCCAGAGTCTAGGAGTCAGAGTCCAGGAGCTTTGACTCATATTTTCATTCATATAATTCTATCGTGAGGTTTAAACAATAATGAACATTCATCACTCTATAATGAACGGTTGTTAGGCGGGACAATACTTTTGTGTGTATCTTTGTGTGTGTCTCTGTGTGTATGTCCTTGTGTGTGTGTCTGTCTGTCTGTCTCTATATATGCATGTGTGTGTCTGTCCGTGTGTGTCTGTCTCTTTATGTGTATGTGTCTCTGTGTGTGTATTGTGTATGTGTGTGTCTCTGTGTGTGTATTGTGTATGTGTGTGTCTCTGTGTGTGTGTTTGTGCATGGACCAGCGTTTCCCTTTCCAAACCTTCTCCACTTCTCACATAAATATTAAAAACTCATAATTTCCAGAGATTTGTGGAAACTCAAAAGTCCGTAAGGCCTCGAACGTCACTCAGAGAAAACACAAAACCACAGCCTCCAACGATAAATAATCACAAAGTTTGAAATGACTCGGACTAAAGCGTGACACTTGGTAAAAGGTCTGTGAGCCTCAGCTGTGTCTGATCTGACCTGGGGCTGTTTTTAGATCCATCCACGCTGCAGAAAAATAAACCCATTCCAAAGTCTTGCACCGGATTTCTATTTTAGCTCCTTCTAGAAATAAATAAATGAGCTATGGTTCCATTGGCCTGGCTCGGCTTGGCCCCGCTCGGCTCGGCTCGGTTGCGTTTCTACTACACTTTAGTATTTGGTACCGTATCCTAGCAACGTACCAACAACAAACTTGCAGCAGCACTCTTGTAGTACCTGGTCACTTACAACAGCGGCAAGACATTCTAATTGATTACTGCGAACGAAACCGAAACCAACAGCCCACCCCTTCTGTCTGATTGTTCCGATTTCAAACTACAGACGATGCTGAACCATGACGTCATGCGTAGAGCTGTTTTCTGCTTTTTACAACAAAAGTATTGCCTCTAAAGGAGTTTCTACGGTAACCCTGGGGCCTAAACATGACATATTGATGAATATATATTATCTTAGGTCTGCTGCTCACAGACCTTTTACCAAACCTTGGCCTCGTGCTACACCGTAAAAAAAAAAGAAAAATCACATTAAGTTGAATTATTAATTAATACAAGCGATTCTTTACGCTGTAGTTCACATGTACGCTCACCATCACTGCTGTAGCCGCATCAGCCTGAGGTATTCTGCTCCATTCTGTACCGGTTTTCTCTCAAGTTTAAACCAACAGTGTGTGACATCATAACATTGGCTGAATGTCTTCCTTCTAATGTCAGAATATCATTCATATATTTGTGGTGGTCGCTCTGTGGAAGTCCCCGGGATTATTGACCACTTGGACCTGTACTATATATGAAAATAAAACCTTAAATCTACACAGGCCTGTTCTAATACTCACTCTACAGACTGAATGTTCTAAAATGAACGGATGGTAGAATATTTTTCACGGGTGGATTTGTCGGTTTGTCCAATTGTTTGGCAAACGGCAGAAACGGTGCAAATCTCTTTGAAATACGATACAGTTTTGAGTTCTGTCTGTTTGAAGAAGCCACTGTTACGACCAGAGCTAGCTTCTCCGCTAAAACCAAAACATTTAAGGAAGTAAATGTTTGGTCTAAGGCTGCAGCCATTTCTTTCTCAAATGTGAAGACATTTTAGCAACTGAGCGCAGTCTCAATATTGTAACTTATAATAATTTATATCGGCCTTAAAATGTGTCATGTCCTAAACATGTATTTAGTTTAGTCCCGCCCCTTGGCACAGCTGGTCACGCCAATCAATTCTTTTGTTGACAACTGAGAAGAGCAGCTAAACCAATGGGGAAGGGGATGAATTAGCATTGCGGTCTGTCCTCTCCTCTCCCTGTGCATCATGGGACATATGAGGTGGCCTTTGACCCCTACACAGCGCCCTCTAGGGGACATTGTGGATGGACGCTCGGACACAGCCGGTGACATCACTC